AAAAAAAACCAAAACATGCCATGCTGCAATAATATGGAGGCTGAACAAAAACTTTTTAATGAACTGACAACTGAGAAAGAGCAGTGCTGAGACAGATTCTATAATTTAGATTCCCTATAAATTTTTTAAAAAGCCAGGACAAAAAACAAATAACATGGAATGCGAGTTGCATGAGGAAAACTAAAGGAAAGATCAAATAAAAGCACAATCAATGCAGTAAACAAAGATCAGATGAAATTCAGGCTCAACGCGTCAAGGTCGGCATCACATTCCCCAGAACCACCCAGGATGCACATAAATTATATCCTACAGTTTACAACTGATGGGATTAAAAATGTAGCCACACCCCTGAGTCCACGTGAAGTTAAATCAATTACCTAATTAGGCAAAAAGAAATACAAATGGAGACTAACTTTTAGGTAAGAATATCTATTATCCACTGTGATTCATAAGTTATATCTCATAAATGTCAAATGGGGAAAATAAATAAGAAAATCATATTAGAGGCTTTTGCATAATGATCTGCTTTCTGTTGCAGAGGAATATGAGAAGGATCACAAGCTATGCCAAGCATTTAACAGCAAGATGCCTTACTATACTAAAATGAAGGGCTCAACACAGCTCAAGATCCTCATCCTTTTTCTGGGGGGCAATTTTAGGGAGGGCAGGAAGTGAATGAACTTGCTTCTGCATCCCTGATGACCCTGTCTGCTCTGGACACTGTTGGATTTGTGGTTAGGGCAGCCCTCCAGACTGTGCATAAAGAGCAGGTATCTCAAAGGCAGTGGTCACATCTGCTTTTTCACCTAAGTGCCCCCAATGCCATGCCATGTCAGCATCTGGTGCATGGTATATGCTCACTAGGTAATTGACACAGGAATGAATGAATGAATTAATGAACTGGCTCAAAAGATCAGTCTCTGACCCGAATTGGAGGGTTCAGGGAGGCTACAATATTTGGTAGCCTCTGGTTCTCCCTGAAGTCCTTGCATTCTGCATGAATTTTCCATGGTGGGGTTCAGTTCTTTTTAGTTCCTGTTATCCAACTTTCCCATTAGGCATTTGGCATCTATGGCTGGGTATTGTTCCTTCTTCTCATTTCCACCCCCAGGGCTTGTCCTCTCATTTCCTCTAGACTTCCAGAGCTCATTTCTTCATTCTCTTTTTCTCCTCTGCAGCTTGTTCCTTGATGGAAGGAATCTTGTTTTTTACACAACAAAATCCCCCAATGCATCTAAAACAAAAAAACCCTTGCAACTGTGCATATTCTGAAATGCTCTGAACTAAGGAACCACTAGTTTATTACTAACAGATCTCAAGTGGAGGACCTCCCACCAGTCAAAACAAAACAAAAACAAAAACACCCTGAGCTTGCTCCAGAGGAGAGATAGAAACCACCCTCTGGCAATCTGAATTTCTCTTTATTCCCCCCATTCACCACTGTATAGATGCTCCTTGACTTACATGGAGTGACATCCCAATAAACCCACTGTATGTTGAAAATATCACTGTAAAAAATGCATTTACTACACTTAACCTACTGGGCACCATAGCTTAGCCTAGCCTACCTTAAATATGCTCAGAATACTTACATAAGCAAAATCATCTAACACAAAGCCTATTTTATAATAAAGTGTTCAATATCTCCTGTAATTTGTTGAATACCGTACTGAAGATTAAAAACAATGGTTGTACGGGTACTCGAAGCACGATTTCTACCAAATATGTTTCACTTTCGCACCATTGTAAAGTTGATAAAACATTTCAAACCATCTTGAGTCGGGGTCCGTCTGTAGTGTGTGAGCCTCAGGACACAATGAGTCAAGGTCATGCATAATGCAAAGAACATGAGGAAGATATTCGCAGGAGACAGGGAATATAG